CTATTCTACATTCCTATTCTATATTTCTCTTCTCTTCTCTTCCCTTCCCTTTCATATTTTCTATTCTATTCTATTCTATTCTATTCTATTCTATTCTATTCTATTCTATACTCTATTCTATTCTATTACATTACATTACATATTTTCTATTCTATTCTATTCTATTCTATTCTATTCTATTCTATTCTATTCTATTCTATTCTACTCTACTCTATAATCTGCCTATCCTGTCCTATCCTATCCTACATTCCGATTCTATTCTATATTTCTCTTCTCTTCTCTTCTATATTCCTATTCTCTTCTCTTTCTTTCCCTTTCATATTTTCTATTCTATTCTATTCTATTCTATTCTATTCTATTCTATTCTATTCTATTCTATTCTATTCTATTCTATTCTATTCTATTCTATGCCATAATTCTATTCTATTCTATGCCATAATTCTATTCTATTCTATTCTGTATTTCTATTCTACTCTATTATGTGTTTCTATTCTATTCTATTCTATTCTGTATTTCTATTCTACTCTATTATGTGTTTTTATTCTATTCTACTCTACTCTATTCTATTACATTACATATTTTCTATTCTATTCTATTCTATTCTATTCTATTCTATTCTATTCTATTCTATTCTATTCTATTCTATTCTATTCTATTCTATTCTACTCTGTTCTGTCCTGTCCTGTCCTGTCCTGTCCTATCCTATCCTATCCTATCCTATCCTATCCTATCCTATCCTATCCTATCCTATCCTACCTTACCCTACCCTACCCTACCCTACCCTACCCTACTGTAAAAACCAACCAAGAACTAAGGAGAAATTTCCTGACTGTGAGAACAATTAACCAATCACTGGAGGTTTTCAAGGAGAGACTGGACATCCATTTGTCTGGAATGGTCTAGGGGCTCTTGCTTGAGCAGGGGGTTGGACTAGATGACCTCCAAGGTCCCTTCCAACTCTCTTTACTCCGTTAAATTGTGAGGCAGGTAGTTCTCGAGTTACAACCATCCCTTTCGCCACCATTTGAAATTACAAAGGCACTGAAAAAAATGATTTACAACTGGTCCTCGCACTTATGACTGTCGCAGCACCCCTGCCTCCACAGTCACGTGATCAAAAATCAGGCACTTGGCAATCGGCCTGTATTTACAAGTGTTGTGGCATCCCAGGATCACGTGATCGTCATTTGAGACCATCCCAGGGGGCCTTCCACAAGCCTGGAGGAGCTGGATCTGCTTAATGACCACGTGATTCATTTAACAACTGTGGCAAGAAAGGGCTGCGACTGATTTAACAGCCTCCTTGCTTGGCAATGGAAATTTTGATCACAATTGTGGTCCTAAACTGAGGACAAACTGTATATGGATTTGAGGAGCAGGAAAAATAGTAGATAATGGGGGGAAAAAAATGAACGTTATACGGTCAGTTTAGAGCAGTGGTTCTCAACCTGTGGGTCGGGATCCCATTTGGGGTCGAACGACCATTTCACGGGGGTCCCCAAACAACGCAGTCCGCCATTTTTTTCCCCTTTTCCTTAGCTGTGCTACTCCCTTTTATTCTGTTGGCTTTTGAAAGCCAATAGAATAGACTCTCTTGAATAGAGTCTAATTCTATTGGCTTTCAAAAGCCAATAGGAATTGTCCAGGCTGTCTCTGCCCTGCTGAGCCCGCCAAAAGTCCCATTCTGCAAAAGGTGCTGCACCAGTTGAGTAGTCCTCGACTTACGACCGGTTGAGTAGTCCTCGACTTACGACCGGTTGGGGGTCGCAGCATTAAAAAGGTTGAGAACCACTGGTTTAGAGATTAATGTAAATTCATACCTATATTGATTGTAAAAGAATGTCGGAGGTTATTTCTCTACATTTATTCCCCCATCTTTTCCTCTGCTTCCTCCATCGTTCTTTATTCTGTTTCCTATATTAATTCTTAGTTTTCTTTAGTTTTTAACCTCTCTGGTTTAAAAATCTAATAAAGTTAAAAAAAAAGGCAACTTTTAAAAGGTACAGAGAGAAGGCTTAGGAAAAAAAAAACTTTGTACAAACCTCTTAGAAATCTGCTGTGCTAAAAAGATTTATGGACTTAAGATAATGAGGGTTTTTTTCCCCTCCTATTTTAATACAATGATCCTCTGAAAAAATAACACTATTAATCACAGGATAATGGTCTACTTGGCTAGGCTGATCACACTTTCTCTCTCTCCAAGTGCAAAAAAAGTACACCAATTTAGCAGGAAAAGAATTCCGCCAAGTTAGCTGGCTTGACTTTGAGAAAGATCTTGGCGTCCTCATGGACAATCACTTCAGTGGCTAGTCTAAAGAAAATCAGAAACAGGGGTGACATGATAGCAGTGTCCCAGTATTTGAGGGGCTGCCCCAAAGAAGAGGGGGGCCAAGCTATTCTCCAAAGCACCAGAAGACGGATGGAAATTAATCAAGGAGAGAAGCAACCTAGAATTAAAGAGAAACTTCCTGACAGGGAGGACAATTAACCAGTGGAACAGCTGGCCTCCAGAAATTGTGGGTGCTACATCACTGCATGTTTTTAGGAAGAGACTGGACAGTCACTTGTCTGAGATGGTAGGGGTTCTCCTTGGACTAGAACAGTGGTGGAGAACCTATGGCACGCGTGCCAGAGGCGGCACTCGGAGCCCTTTCTGTGGCCACGTGCGCCGTTGCCCCACCCCCGCCTCCCCCCACAGCCCCCACCTCACCAGCAGCCCCCCCAGAAGAGAGTCGCCCCAAGCGCGGCCCACGCGGAGCAGCGCAGCCAAGAACATGGCAGCCGGGCAGTGGGGACAAGACTCCGCCCTCGTGTCCTGTCGTGCACAGTTGATTCTGTGGGGCGCAGGCAGAGGGTGTGGCTGCCATGGCGCTGCTGGGCCACCTGGGCGATCTGTGGCAGGCCGTGGAGGCGGTGGGTGGCCCTGCGGGCAGGCGGGGCCAGGGGCAGGATGGGGAGGGTGAGGTGCGGGCGGGGCCTGTTTTTGGGCACTCAGTCTCTAAAAGGTTTGCCATCACTGGATTAGAAGATCTCCAAGATCTTTTCCAGCTCTATTCTATTCTACGTCTGAGCCAGCCATGTGCTGCAGCTGCCAAAAAAGCCAATTCAGTCCTCGGTTGCATAAACAGAGAGATAGAATCAAGATCATGTGAAGTATTAATACCACTTTACAAGGCCACACTTGGAATACTGCATCCGGTTTTGGTCACCACGATGTAAAAAAGATCTAGAAAGAGTGCAGAGAAGAGCAACAAAGATGATTAGGGGTCTCTGGTTTAAACATACGGTGAACAGTTGCAGGAATTGGGTATGTCTAGTGAAAAGAAGGATGAGGAGTGACTGTGATAGCAACAAAGATGATTAGGGGACTCGAGGTTAAAACATATAAGGAAAGGCTGCTGGAATTGGGTCTGTCTAGTTTAATGAAGAGAAGGACGAGGGGGGACATGATAGCAGTCTTCCACTATCTCGGGGGCTGCCCCAAAGAAGAGGGAGTCAAGCTATTTTCCAAAGCGCCTGAAGGCAGGACAAGAAGCAACGGATGGAAACTAATGAAGAAGCAACCTGGAACTAAGGAGAAACTTCCTGACAGTGAGAACAATTAACCAATGGAACAACCTGCCTCCAGAAGCGGTGAATGTTCCAACAGTGGAAGTTTTTAAGAAAAGACTGGACAGCCATTTGTCTGAAATGGTATAGGGTTTCCTGCCTGAGCAGGGGGTTGGACTTGATGACCTCCAAGGTCCCTTCCAACTTTATTACTATTATTATTACTACTACTACTACTACTACTACTATTATTATTATTATTATTATTATTATTATTATTATGGATCATCGCACAGTCAGCCAGATGTTCAGACTAGATTTGGCATTTTGTCTACCTATCGAGTCCTTACCCAGGACCTGGGATAGGCAGATGTGGATGTTTGATGGTATTACAGGTATCGTCGCAGGATGGAAGCAGTTCCTAGTCAGGCCGCCTTTTGCAATTGACTAATAGAGAATTTGTCAATGCCAATGGTGTTCAAGTGGTGCTCCAATTGTTTTGGGATTGCACCCAAGGAGCCTATTATTATTATTATTATTTATTGATCATCGCACAGTCAGCCAGATGCTCAGACTGGATTTGGCATTTTGTCTACCTATCATTTTGTCTACCTATCGAGTCCTTACCCAGGACCTAAGATAGGCAGATGTGGATGTTTGATGGTATTACAGATATCGTCGCAGGATGGAAGCAGTTCCTAATAATGCCGCCTTTTGCAATTGACTAATCTGTTAGTCTCTGTTCTGTTATTTCTGATTTTGGATGTTGTTCTTTCCAGAACTGGTGGATTCGTTTTAGATATCCTCGTCTTGTTGGACTTGATCTGTAGTAACAGATCATTATTTCTTTGTTTTCCATCACTGTGTATCTGCGACGGGTAAACACCTTTTCTTCCAGTAGTTCTGCAGCTGCTGGCCCTGGTTGCTCAGCCAACAGTCCTGAGTCCTGTAACCCATTTTTCACCAGATATCCAGGAACTCCAATATCTAGCGCGGACCTTGTTAACCCGGGCGACGTCCGAGCCGGTATGGCATTCTGCAATTTACGTCTCACCATATTTTTTATGGGAGAGACACTCTTTGTCTGACTCCTCTGATGAGACCTGTCCAGTATGGTTGAACCTCTGGCATAGCTCTCATCTTCCTCAGAGTACACAAGCCCCACAACCACGTCAAGGTAGTGCCTCACTGGGGATTATTATTATTATTATTATTATTGGGACTCCTACAAAGAAAAGGGGGTCAAACTATTTTCCAAATCACCAAAAGGCAAGACAAGAAACAACAGATGGAAACTAATCAAGGAGAGAAGCAACCTAGAACCAAGGAGAAACTTCCTGACAGTTAGAACAATTAATCAGTGGAACAGCCTGCTTCCAGACATTGTGGGTGCTCCATCCATGAAGATTTTCAAGGAAAGACTGGACAGTCATTTGTCTGGAATAGTATAAGGTCTCCTGCTTGAGCAGGGGGATGGACTAGAAGACCTCCAAAGTCCCTTCCATCTCTGTTATCCTGTTAAAGGTTGTTCTGTTCTGTCAGTTCAAGCTATTTCAGGCCAAACGGATGACTACTGTAATTATTATTTCTAGGCAGCAGCTCAAGAAATTTAGCTCGGCCTACCTGATTTGTCAACGCGGGAGACTTCTCAGCTTCGTGGAGCCTAAAGATAGAACCAAAAGCTCAGATCAACCAAAAGGAGTCAACAGCAAATTTCACACACTGACTTTTTAAAACGAAATTAGAAACAACACCTGCAAACAAAACAACAACAACAACAACAAAATTCAAACTGGCACAGATTTTGTAGAGGTCTCCATTGTGACCATTTGCTTCTGCAAAGGAGATTTGAGATATAGCAGCATTGGTCTTTGGGGTTTAATGGGTAAAGAGCTTGAAAAAAAAAGGGAGCTTTCATGTTATATACACTGACAGCAAGAAGAATACAGATGGTGCTTGAGTCTTCCTTCCCCTGTCCTCACCACTTTCTGCAGAGGGACGATCTGGAGCATCCTGTCATACAGCATCACAGCCTGGTTTGGAAGCATCCCTGCTTCGGACAGGAAGGCGATGCCGAGAGTGGTGAGGACAGCAGAAAAGATTATTGGCAGTTCCCTCCCTCCCATTGAGGATGTGGAACAGAAGCGTTGCTTGTGTGGGTCCGCAAGATTGTCTGGGATACCACACATCCTCTTCACAACCTATTTTCCTTGTTACCCCTTCTGGGAGGAGGGGCTCCATGGTACCCGAAGCAGAACATCCCGATGCAGTCACAGTTTTGGTCCATATAGTATTAACCTTGTGAAGCTCCAAAGCTTCCTCTTTCCATTATGTCAGGGGTGTCAAATTCAATTTTGTTGAGGGCCGCATCAGCATTGCGGTTGCCCTCGGGGGGGGGTGGGGTGTGGCCAGGGTGGGTGTGGCCTACTGGGTGGGCATGGACAGAGTGGGTGTGGCCTACTGGGTGGGCCTGGACAGCTCTACATCGTTCGCGTCAAGGGTGCCTGTGGGGGCCTGGGCAGGAGTGGGACAGGTCTGAGGGTCTCTGGCAGAAGGGGGTGGGACCGGGGCAAGTGCCAAGGCATGGTCCACTGGAGGAGCCTCACTGTCCCTCTCAGGCCATGCGGGGGGGGGGGGGGCTTACAGAGCTAAGACTGAATGTGTTTCAGCATAGATGGCCACCACAAAATTGTACATTGGCTCCTGGCCGGCCTGGGCCAGGGTCAAGGCAGTGGGGGCCATTCCCTCACTGTTTCCAGGATGGCTTCGCAGGCCACATGAAACCACTTCGCGGGCCACATCCGGCCCCCGGGCCTTGTGTTGGACATGTCTGCGTTATGTATTCAAAATGGACAGTGATTAATATTCATATCTTACTTATATGTAAGGGTGTAGGTCTATACATATGTTGTATATAGTATGTTTTTTTTAATTCAAAAGTTTTATAAATTTATTACAATATAAACCCCCCCACCCCTTCCCCCCTCCCCCACTTCCCAGAGCTGATTACAGGATAAAAAAAATAAAATAAACAAACATAATCTAACTAACATAAACCAACTATACTATCAATCAAAACCATAACACACTTTAACTCCTTCTCAAAACAAGTATTAACAAATTAAGTCAAAAATAATAATATAATTAAAACTAATAATAATTATCTAAAATCTACTCAAAAGCAAGATAATACTTTTCAATTTCATATTTCTTCTGAATGTAATCAATCCATCTTCTCCAAACCATAATATAATTTTCTTGTGAATGTTTTAAATGTGTTATGTATTTGTACACTTTGAGAGCAAGCAACTAAGTTTCATTTTTAATGTGTGCCATTGTGCCCACAGTAAAAATGACAATAAATCTAATCTAATCTAATCTAATCTAATCTAATCCAATCTTAAAACAGTTCGTTTAGTGACTGAAGTTTCAATGGCACCGAGAAAAGTGACTTATGACAATTTTTTACACAACTGTTGCAGCCTCCCCACGGTTGCATAATCAAAATTGAAAGACTTGGCAACTGACTCACATTTATGATGGTTTCAGTGTCCCGGGATCACGTGATCCCCTTTTGCGACCTTATGACGAGCAAAGTCAATGGGGAAGCCAAATTCACTGAGCAATCACATTACTAACTTAACAACGGCAATAATTCACCTAGCCACTGTGCCAAGAAAGGTCGTAAAATGGGGCAAAACTCGCTTAACGGCTGTCTCACTTAACAACAGACATTCTGGGCTCAATTGTGGTCGTATGTTGAGGTTTGTGCTCAAAAATGAAAGGATGCAGGTAGTCCTCAACTTACAACCATAATGGGGCCCGGAAATGTCCATTGAGACAGTGGCTAAGTGAATTCTGGGAGTTGAAGTCCACGCATCTTCAAGTTGCCAAGGTTGAGAAACATTGCTTCAAATGCTCAGATTCCAAGGAACTGATCATAATCTATGGACTATCATAACTGGAAAAGCTGGATTTACCCTCCTCTTTCTTTCTAGATTAATATAGAGCAGAAATGTTCAACTGAATCCCTCTGAGCATTGCTAAACCACATCTCCCACCATACTTCAACCATTTGCATTTTGCAGCTGCTGGGAACAGAGGTTCAGCCATATATAAATGCTACAGGTTCCTTAACCTTGATTTACGATGAGAGAGAGATCAGGGTTTAAGTTCACCTCCAGCCATTTTTTCAACAAAAAAATCTTTGGACAAGCCATACAGGCACTTCAGTGCAATTTTTTTGAGTCACCTACTTAAGAGATTGCTATGTAGTTAATGTAAAATGCAGAGATGGGGAAAAATACATATTGTTTTATATTAAAGTTCACATTTTAACTCAGCGGCTGTTAGTTTGCTTTTTTTTTAAAAAATCTGCATATATTTTTATTGATGCCTTCCTTCTTGACTTTATGGTGCATTTTACTATTTGTGTGAAAAGGCAAGGAATAGATTTAATATTAATAAGTAAATATGTATTTGCTACAAAGCCGTCAGTGATGTAAATTCATAGACACAGCTAAGTCCCTGGAAAATATATTCAGGCTCTTAATAAAAGGCTTGACATAAATTAAGTAATTAAACTTTATGCTTTGGATCAATGGGTCTGGATATAATCATTTCTTTTTAAGGAATGTATCCCAACTCTGCTCTTACTGAAGGTGTCTGGCACTGCAAAAGGTTAATACAGTACAATCGTAAATAAACTCAGCACATAATTAAAATAGCAGACAAAAGAATAAAACACAGTTAATGAGAATTCTTGCTGAATAGGAAGATGGAGATGTTGGGAAATACAGCTAGAGCAGTGGTTCTCAACCTTTTTAATGCCGCGACCCCCAACCGGTCGTAAGTCGAGGACTACTCAACCGGTCGTAAGTTGAGGACTACTCAACTAGTGCAGCACCGTTTGCAGAATGGGACTTTTGGCGGGCATGCTAGACAGGACTTGGGGTTCAAGCTCTCCCATTCAAGGTTTTAAGGGGTTCCCCAGTAGTCCCACCCAATCAACCCCCCTTCCAGTGATAGTTTCAAGTATCACAATTCCATCCCCTTTCTTCTTCCGTCTGGATGGAGACTTCAGATAACTACATGAAAGGCAATTACTCTTCTTTGATATGTTAAAGCTTAGAGGCCACAATAAACACACATTCAGTCCTTTGAAGTGTGCTGAAGGAAGTGAGGGCCATAAAGCCCCTTTGCTCTCCCCCTTTTCTCCCTCTTATGGCAGAATCCAGAGAAGGCAGAATTGGGAGTTTCTATGTTTGATAATTAAAGATGAAATATAATTGGATTCTGACATCCGGCCCCTCTTAACAATAAGAGAGATCCACCTGAAAGAAAACACACGTAAAAAATTTAGTTAGGCTTGTTAGGATACTCTGTGTGAAACTTCTTCAATAGCTTCGGGGCTCTGACGTGACGTTTATGGACCCACTCATTTTGTGAGGCAGGGAGGTGTTTCCAGGCAACTAGGTACTGAGTTGTTCCACGATATCTCCTAGAGTCAAGGATCTCTTTTATTTCGAAGTGTTGTTCCCCCTCCACCATGATTGGAGGTGGTGGGGGGGGGGATTTTTGGCCGTAGAGGTGACTGATGCTCTCTTTTCAGCAAGCTGCAATGAAAAATTGGGTGTATTTGCCTGAGGTTTTTGGGTAATTCTAATTCTACTGTTACTGGATTTATGATCCTTTTAATTGGAAAAGGTCCTATATATTTTGGTCCAAGTTTTTTACAGGGCTGTAGGGACTTTAGGTATTTTGTAGATAAGTACACCATTTCTCCTATAATGAATGGTGTAGGCTCAACCCTTTTTTTATCGGCTTGTGCTTTGTATGCCCGCCTAGCTTCATCTAGTGATTTTCTGACTATTGGCCAGGTGTTTTGTAGGTTTTCCATCCATTCTTTCAGTGAAGGGATCGTTGGTTCTTTTGGGGTTAACTCTGGCATAGGGTTGAAACTTTGGCCGTTGGCTATTTGAAAAGGAGTGTAGCCTGTGCTGGAGTGGACTGCATTATTGTAGGCAACTTCTGCAAAAGGAAGTAAGTCCGTCCAATCACTCTGTTGGAAATTTAAAAAACATCTCAAATATTGCTCAAGTACCGACTGGCAGCGTTCCGCTTGTCCATCTGTCTGAGGGTGATGGCTAGATGTCAGTCCCTGAGTGGTCCCTAAGAGGGATAAAAATTCCTTCCAAAATGTAGACGTAAATTGCACTCCCCTATCAGAGATGATGCGTTGGGGTGCCCCGTGCAATCTGTAAATGTGCTGGATAAAAAGTTTTGCTAAGGCCTTTGCAGTGGGAATTTTTTGGCAAGGGATAAAGTGCACCTGTTTGGAAAATAGGTCCGTGACTGTCCAGATAACAGTATTCCCATTGCTTTCAGGCAATTCCACTATAAAATCCATGGCTATTTCCCTCCAGGGGGCTGAGGGACTTGCCACTGGTTGTAACAGCCCTGGCGATTTCCCTTGCAACCTCTTTGCTGATGCACAGGTTGGGCAGCTGGCAACATAACTTTCTATGTCCTTTTTTATTGATGGCCACCAAAATTGCCGTTTAATTAAGTGTAAAGTTTTTACAAATCCAAAATGCCCTGCTGATTTTGTGTCATGGCAAAGTTGCATGAAAGTTAGTCTTTGAGTTGTTGGTATATATAACT